ACTGGATCATAGGTAGTGGTTTTTTAACCTCACACCAACCATTAAATGACTTTTCCCATCATCACCACCACTACTGCGTTTCTTGTGTAAATAAAGGGCGTCCTCAAGTCACATGTGGTCACACACACGCACACACACACACACACAAGCATGTCCGCACGCACTTTTGGGGTCAGTCGCAGGCCCTCGCTGGAACATCCGTAGGTGAAAAGAGCGACTGTGTTCGCCTACGTGCGTGCGTGTGATCTCCTAAAAGTACATGGCCTGAGCGCAAACACACGGGCCAAACCCCACTTCCCTCCGGCCAAACGGTAAATCTTCAACGCATGACAGGATGTTCTTTACAAAATTCATGGTTCAGTTCACACAAACGTTGGCCATGCGATCTACATTACATTTAGTCACGGAAATTTTAAAATTGCAATATCATATTCCGATTAAAAAGTAACAATCCAACAGCACCATTATGCACAGTGGTTTTTAAAAGACCTGGGCAACAAAACTCAATAAGTCCAACCGACCAGTTCTTAAATAAGCGAATTAACATCGGTCCTTAGAATATCTAGTGACCGCAGCCATACTGCTGGCTTTGTTTTCGAGTCATCTAACATGTACCTAGATCCTCTCCTAAACCAGTGACTGGCTTAATCGTGACTGTTATTTTGCTTCTTAATGAGGGCTAGCGTACCCCCTTTGGAGCTAATAATACACAATACTGACGAATTTACATAGCAACATATAACTAGCATAATGTTTAAAAATAAGTTCTGAGATTTTAAGCCGCAAATGTGAACAATGGAAGATAAAAATTACAGATTGAATAGAACAATTCAAAGGATACTAGCACAGAAATAATCGTGCGTCCTATGTTCTCATGGTGAAAATAACTAATAGTTAATAAAAAGCTGTCGAGCTCCATAGGTACTAGATTTAAGCGCACTGCTTCGTGTTTTACATATTAACGATGGCGGAAGTGCCAAAAACATTTGAGGTACTTATTTTTGTGGAAAATCGTCGTCACTCTAGTAAAGCCGTGTTTCAGTCAAACCGTTGGGCAGAAAAGGAGAACCGAATGCGATTTTGGTGTTTTCCCTTGGAACCAGACCAGCAAAACGTGTGTTCAGTCGTGTGGGCCCAGACGCAGTATGAACCGTCTGTGCCGCCATAACACGAGAGCAACTGAGGGCAACACGTCAGCCGGCACTACGCGGTACCAAGACTGCGAACGGAGTAGCGGAACGGGACTCAAGTTAGCATGCACATGAACCAGCGTAAATATGCACTACCTTGGTAGTTTGTTTACATGGTCCCGACAACTGACCCGAAACCAAAAGGAACGAGGCTAAATGGTAGAGCCTTTTCACTATACTGTTCCATACAAACACACGACACTGATCTCACAAAAATTACACACCGAACACTCACTCCTTCGGACAACTTGCGTGCAATTGGTACACGCGAAGGCTCATTTTTGGTGGTTAAGTCGCTTATCACCGCATTGCACCTGTTAAAAATTCCCTAGTGAGGGTACCAGACTAACTGTGGCACGAGTTTCATGCATCCTCGATTAAGACGGATTTTATGAAAATCGCTTAGAGTTCTCACCCTTGAAGTTGTCTAGCGTTAAGTCATTAACGGCGCACTTTTAAAACGTTAACCCAATGAAGCAACTCAGAAATATACATTCTAATATATCTTATCCATTACCTCTCCTTTGAAGTTTCTGAAAATAGTATCTAAATGAAAAAAAAATCACGAAACAGTGTCCTGTCCAGGCGTTTATTTAATCAGGGTAAAGTCGTAGTGACAATTAAATTCAAGCGGACCCCGTGTGGCACGGATACGGCGATCTTCGTACAATAACGGTAAATCAAAACACGTATCTTCGGCTAAAAGCGGCAAAAACCCGCAAGTAGAGCTGTGGTATCTTATAAGATCATCCGTTACTTTCCTGTAAGTGTTCATATCAAGTTGAACGGGAGTAGTTTTGGGGACTTCCAGAGGAGAAACTACGGCCCAATGAGCGCAAGGTTTGTGGCTAATGAAGGTTCGGATTTTCGTTACCCACATTTAGGTCAGCTTGCACATTCCCGGAAGATGTTAGTTCAAATGACGGGGTAATCACTAAGCCATTTCATCGGTTTTAGATACAGATAAATGGATTTCCTCCTGTCAAGAATGAGTTTACGTCGTGATGAATTCCAACATATTACTGTCTTCGTGTGTTCGTGAATGACATGGCATGAAACATGACCGCTTATTTACTTAATGTAATCGAAAATGACACAACCACTCATTTTAAACTATTTCGATTTTAACAAATCAACTACGGCAAATTAAGGGGTCTGCTGGTCGAGAATCAAATCCCTCCCCTCCACACTGTACGCCCGAATCGTTTTGAAGCCATACAAAACCGCAAAAATTGCTAGAATAAAAGGTTGATTCTACAAAAGATGCTTCCGAAACTTCAAGCGTGGGAAGCCCTTTTACACACCATGGACACTCTACGGGTCTCAACTAACCAACTACAAAGACTCGCATCTATCAGACCCTCGCAGTTTTCCATAAGGCGCTCAAACATTAATCAAAAAGCTCTAGTTACGGCAAAATACGGATCTCTTAGACTAGGCAAAATATTCACTTTATAAATTCTTCTTGCACTAAGGTAAGGGAATAACTTCACACACTAGAGTACCATTCCAACCCCTATAATTTGAGAGATGGGTTAAAAAGAATCATTGACTACCCAAGTCTATGAAGAAATCTGAAACGATATCATCTATCACGTGGCCAACTTGCGCACCGGATTTACTGATGTCCATCTGGGTTAGGTAGTTTAACAGATCAAATCCAGATAAAATGAGTTTAGCGTTAAGTAATTGATGAGCGTTAAATAGCCACGACTACGACACAGCAATTTTTGCGTATCTGATGTAATGTAGTAATTGGCTTTTAGGCCTGTGGGTGATTACAAATCAGCATCATACTGATAAATACATTGTAGAAAATTACCAACTTCGATTATAGATTACTCAAACAGCGGTTTGTTCCTTAATATAATTTGGGGAATTTGCGGTTGGAAAATAAGCCCCATCCAAACAGTTTAAATCAAAGACTAAATCCACATCAACATCTGAACGGCTTAATAAAAGGGACTTCTGGTTCACTGACCTTGAAATGCTTCAAGAGTTGAAAAAACTCTGAAAAGATTATACAACTAATCGAAAATTGTTAAAGGGCTCTGAAAAGTAGATTTACTTTAGGATGTTAGTGATAATATAATCCATCAGAAATCCAGGTCTTTTCACAAATGTCAACAGCAAAATCCACGAACATCGACATGCCATCGAGACTGAACCCGAAATAAATAGTGTATCAGTAACCCCAGTTTCTGAGAGGCGAACTTGTTGACGTTGATAGCAATGTGACTTCATTGATTTCGCCTTTTCCTTGGATAATTATACATATACGGACGCAATATTTCAAAACCACATATCCTGAGTACACTCTTTTCGAGACTACGGCTTTTGCACACACAGAGGCCAGTGGCATCGCATCGTAGTTTGATGGATTTTGGAAAGGCAAAAATTTTCTAGACGTCAGGCTACTTCAGAACTTCCGTATCACCGTTAAGGCGATGCAGCTGTTATAAGTAACAAAAAGACAAAATGCGGGTGTAAATGCTGGTGGTAAATGCTGGTGTTTTTATTGCACACTGCACGGCTAACGAAGTAAAAACATTCACGAAGATTGCGACACTCCCACGCGTAGACTCACTTGCAAAGGAAGCACAGTTATTTACATGATCATGGTGCTCTGGCGACTTACGAAATTTTGTCGCTACAGAATAAAACTTGCATGGCTCACAGTCGACATGGTTTTTCGATAGACCGTTCGAATGGGGGTTATTTATGTGGTAGCCACTTTGGAAATGTTGTAGAAGCTCACCATTGGGACGATTGTTCCGCCAACAAAACCCACTGGTAATTATTAAAATATGCAGTCTGAACCTAGGCACAATTTCGCATTCTGTTGTCATGATCCCCATACGTTGCGGGTCGCCAATTTCGAATCAATGAATCCCCGTACGTATAAAAGTATGCAAGACCGACCTATCCTCTAGAGTCAGGCTATTACTTTTAGAAGGGTTTCTAAATGTCCAATGAAAATTCGGAAAGCAAAGCTTCCTTGTTTACTGATTTAACTACAACTCGTGTAGTTTGGTCCCACCTTGGACGACAGAAGTCTTTCAGTCAGTTCACATCAAAGCTAGTCGATGTTTTAGAAACCAAACGATAGAGAAAGAGTGCTTTTCAGTGAATACTAAACGGGATCCAAAATTTACTTGAAAAAGAATTTATCTGGAGATCAAAATCACAGCTAATCATTTAACTCAGGTGGTAATAATTTAAGACTTAACAGTCAATTTAGAGGCTATCAGATCAATAGAAGATATACGCAGCACCTCATTCTGATCTTGAGTTTTTTACGTGTTATTTTTACAAAAAAAGCAAGAAACAACTAGAACAATCCTATTATAGTTCTTGCAATGAGAATAAGGGAGAATAGCAACCATTATGAATAGATATGGGTGAGTGTTAGGTCCCCAATGTGGCAAGAGTTGATGTACTGTAAGCGACATATTATCGGGTCCACACCAATATTAATATTACTGACAGTAAAAAATCACCGAAATTTTAATCCAGACCTTATTGTTGTAACAGTTTATTTGAGGCTTCATTTGGCACGTCTAGACGCTTTGATCTCTCACTTAGACTGCGTGAATCGCGAAGCCGATTGAATGTCTCAGTTAAGGCTGCCGAGCATGTGGTGGCATACACAGCACCCTACCACCCCTCTCCTTATGAAGACGAGTGACTTTTGGAAGTGTGTACACGTAGCGCGTTCGGTGGGTAGGTTGACTCGCGCTGATCAGACAACTAGGTCAGGCTTTCCAACAGTTAGGTGAACGGGTAGCAGAGGTCTTTTGTGGCACATACTTGAGACTTCTTGGTGGACGTGGGCTGTATAGGAGGAGGGACCAGGGGGAGTGCGTGGCGTCATGGCGACGGTAGATTCACGGGAAGCGGGCATTGATGATGACGCGCGATCGATGGGAGACCGACGTATCCGCAGATCCTGAGGGTGGCATGAGTCATCACTACATTCTTCGCCTTCACAGTCCACTATCAATGGAATTCCTATAAAAGATTAAATTTAATAACTAATCTAGTATTATAATGGTTCGGCTTGTTAATGTTTGACAAAACATTAACTACCTTTTAACTGATGAAGGTATGGATTAATATCAGCAGGTGCATGCATTTAGACTGATTGTATACTCTCGTGTTTGTATATTCGAGCGCTCATGTATTAGGTAAAAACCGATATTTTATAGAGTGAAGTACTAATGCAACCTTGCACAAATTTTCCACACCAGTAGTGGTGGGGAAAAGGGTAGCATTACTGTACGGTTCAATTAGAGCTGGTTCTAGCTCCGCACCACGTTTACTGCTGTCTTCACTCAATTTCGCTACGGTTACATGATTTGCCAAGTTTGCAAAAGCAGAAGTGGTACACTTTGAAAATTTAGGATGGAACATAATTATTACTGCAATCTATTGTCATTAACTAACATGAAGCATCACTTTACTTTTGATTATACAAGCTTTCACCAGTTCCTGTATGGAAAATGGAGACAAAAGCGCTACATCGACAAGCCTCACTCAGTTATAGCGAAATAGTAAGGGGCGAGCTATATACAGGAGCACCATGTGGACTAGAGCTTTGAAGAAGGTAATTTAAACGCTTTTACATCTAAATAGTGTATCCTAGAAGATTCTACGGCGGTGCTACGAAATGACTTCTTATGAACAGAGCAAGCTTAGCTTCACACACTTATGTTATCACTTGCCCCGACTTCCCGGTGCATTATAATACGGATAAGCAGGTGGCGAGATGACTTTAATGGTGTTTCAAAGGCTGCATCAGGCTATACGTTGAACAATATTAATCGGCACTGCTAAGGTAGGCGTATCGTAAGTTTAAAACCATAATAACATGTCACGAACGTTTATCAAGAATAGTTCACCTCCATTCATTCTTGGTAGACAGTGCAAATAAAAAGATGAAATTTATGCTCCAGATTTTTTAAGTACGGGGTTGGGGAAACAAATAGTGCGGCAATGCCTATTGTGACGTAAGTTAACGCTATTTACAAGGGCAAGTGTTTTGAGTACGAGTCACAGGCATATCTAAAAGTGAAGATACTTTAGCGATAGTTAAACAATATATATTAAATTCTGTGGTTTCTTTTTGAAAATATTTGTACAGAACCAGATAAGACCTAATATTCACTTTAGGCTAAATAATGACTACAATTACTGCTTTTGAGGTTCATTATAACGGTTTATTCTACATTAGGAAAGTTTCAGAAACGTCCGTGTTCTTGTCAATGTCTTTGCTCACGCAGGTGCCTTATGAGAAGCATTTTACAGGTTGATGCAAAATGAACAAACGATCCTTCTGAGGACCTGTTGGTTTAAGTCATTATACATTGGCAGATAGGATAAGGAAATGGATGAGGTGAACACAATGACTTCGTAATATGACCCATAATCTGCGTTATTCACATACGGCTGTAAATTATATCAAATACCCATTCGGGAATAGATTCAGGTCCGAAAAATATTTCAACTATTCTAAAGCGAGGGACCAAATGTTTCTACCTAGTATTTCAAATAAGGGCATTCCAATGTCAATCCAAATCAAGCGTTGAAACGGAAAATAGGGTAAAAAGCAGCCATTGACGCAAGTATGAAGTTAACTATACAAATGAGAAACTGCAAAAAACGTACGAGAATCCACCTCATCCAGCTCTCGTAAAGCAGATGAATGTGCTATTGGTGGAGTGTCGGAGGTGGTCGGTGCCTCACCTACAAGGTTTTAAAATTAACTAGTTTAATTTGACATATTCACGCTTATAAAACATTATGGAGACTTACAAGTACGACACGCAAAAGACTTACAGCAAACTTAACGAATTACAAATTGTTTTACCGTAAACCCCCCATATCGTAGCAAAAATTGCACCCTCGATTTAAATCAATGCTACTATGTTTGAAAAGTGTAAATATAGGATAATTCGATTTTGGGGGGCTTACTTGCGTGCTCAAGAATGACGTGTAGATGAAGAGATCTTCGGTTACGAAAGGTCCTTCCACAAATACAGCACAAACTAAGCTCGCCACCGTCGATATCGTCAACATCTATTTGCGCGTATCGACGGTTGTCCGTCATAATATGGTCGCACTAAAAAGAATGGCGATCTGAATCGAATATCAGTTTTAAAAATAACAGTTATGCAACACGTTAGAAAGCAAAAGGCGAGACGGATGAAAACTTAAGTTGGCAAAATAACGTGACATTGTTTGCAAGAAAATTACAACACTATGCGGACGATCGCAAAAGAAAACGCATTTGAACATTTGATATTCAATATGATTTAATCAAAATGCGAACCCAAAAGGTACCATGATCACTCCTTAGAATTAGGGAGCATACTCTAAGTTTACGATAGGTGAACGTAGCAGTATCTTGTGCTCCGATGTAGGTGTTTAGCTTAGGATTAAAATAAAATCCATAAAAACCCATTACGGTGATCAAAAATTAGATGAAATCTGGAACTGAGCCACATATCGTTCTAAAACCCAGATCGAGCATCTGGATCGATAATAAAACACGGATTACGCGCAATGTATTGATATGCAAAGGTCGGACGGATGCTATCGACTAGTGGACAAGACGCAAACATCTATTTGATTGTTGGACGGTTATTGTGACCCTTCCTTCCCACTAACAAATCAAATACAAAGTAGACTATTTTATTAGGGAAAAATTGTGCGTTCCAATGATCCGTTATTGAATAGAAAATTCGAAGTGTAAAAAATCTATTTTTCCGGTCATTTTTCATATTTAATTTAACTTGTCTCCCTATAGTGAAAAGAAAATGGCCCTCGGACAGAGTCTGATACATGTCATCAAGTAAACCTGATGTGTTATATGATAAATATTACTGTTTGGTTCCAAAAATTCCACTTAAGAGTAGTCGATACATATCTAAGTTCATGAAAATTGATTTTACGAACTCAGATTACCTCTTACCGCGTTTGTCCACCTACAAGGTCAAGCCTACCACACTTGAGATTTTGACCAATAAGATTAATGCATCAACATTATTATGTTAAGCTGTGCCAGTTCAATATGCAAACTAGCCTGAATTAAAAGTTGTATCAAAATTGCTTTTCCTCAGAACAATTACTAACCAAACATTGTTTTTAATTTTTGTTTAACACTAATTATAGAGCTTAAATGATTCACATCCGTTACCGGGGCACATTCAAACAGTCATACTCCAGG